GGAAAACTAATCAAAAAGACAAGCATCAGAAGCTCAACTTAAAAAAAAACATGTCTTGACAGCATTTCATAACCCAGTGTCTTCTTGTTAGATTTAAAACACAGAAAGTTTCATTATAGTAAATGCTTTTTTAGAAGACAACGCTCACGCCATAGGGAAATATAAATATTCTCCAACTATGGCTCTCAAAAATGATTGAAATCAAGTGACGTCTGGCACCAACTGTGAACTGCTTGAGTTAAGAGGTGAGGAGCAACTAATTCTCCTTTACAGTCAACATATGGTAAAAGTCAATCAGCGCTGCTCTAAACAAACCCCTGATGGGAAGGAAGAAGGATAAAAACCAGATTTTGATACTCTTACTATGTTACAAGAAACTCCTGGCATATTAAAAGTATGAAGATTTGCTTTATCGTTTGAAGGAACAACATGACAACCAGTGCAGACAGAGCAAAGCTGAATCGTCCTGGATAAATTCCTTCCATGCATTTGATTCTGTTTATCGTCGATCAATCACACGTTCATTTCTTGTACCTGTGTATAAAGCAGAATTGCAGTCCTGCTTCACACTAAAATACCTGTTGGCCTATTGGTGGAAACAAAAACATGCCTCCAGCCCCACCCAAAGAGCCAGCTCATAATATTGTGCCACAAACCTGAAATTGTGACATTTCACAACACCGAAGTAATCTACGAACTGAAATCTCCCACAGAAATCCCACGAGGCAGTTTTTTTCCCCCCGAGCTACACTTCTTATTTTTAGAAACTAGGACGATTGTAAAGTGTGATGCGGATATCAGTCAGTCCTCCACTGAAAGGCTTTCAGCTTCCCAAGTCAGAAATAACTCAGGTTTTCTTAAAATAGCCGAGTAGATGATGACAGCCCTGTTTCCCTGTGTCATACGGGGAAGGCGCACTTCTCTCCCTTCTGCAATTTAGCGCTGATGACAAGGTGCTGCGTGACAAGCGGACGTGGCGCAATAGCTTCTACGGAAAAGCGGCGAACGTGTTCGGGCCTGACGAGCAGAGGTCAAGCTACAGGTCAGGAGGGTGTGCGGCTGCGAGTTTTGCGACTGGACGATGCAAAGACGACACGTGAAGCTGCTGTGGACAAGCAGGCAGAGCGAGGAATCGCATAAATGAGCTGCAGTGCGTTGAACTAAACCAGATGTTGAGGGTTTGCGATCCGGGCGGTAGATATGACAAGTCAGGGATTCCTCCTGGCATCGATGCAACGATTCTGCTGGGAGCTTCCGCACCATCGGCTTGAACCTTTACACATTTTGTCTCGTTTCTACATCTATTTGAACCAACGCAGAAAAGGAGAGTATATTTTACAGTTAACATGTAAGGGAAATAAGACTATTTTATACAAATAAAAATCTGACAAAACATGCCATTCATTTGTAATCAGACTCCTAGGTGAATACTTTGTAGAACCACTTGTTTTTTTGCAATTCCAGGTTCATTTCCCTTTAAATACATCTGTACAAGCGTTTCACTGCTACACACCGACATTCTTATCCAGTCCTGCCGAGAGATTCCTTAGCAAGGTCTGGACTTTGAGTGAACCTTTCGAACCCTTGAACATCTTGTGATCCAAGCCGTTAAATTGAAGCTCCGGCTGTACATTTAGGATCCTTTTCCTCACTGTAAGCCGAAACTCCATTCCTCCCTCAAACGTTTTGCATCGTCAAACTGACTTTCTTCCAAGATAACCCAGTTTCGCCGTAACTTCTGAAGGAAAGCGTGCAGACAGCATGATGCTGATGCTGCCACCACCATGTCTACCATGAAGACGGCCTCATCAGAGTGCAGAGTTCATTTTAGTGTTCTGCAAGACCAGAGGACACCCTTTGACGTGCTTGTTGTACTTGGCTTGTGAAAAACTGCAAACAAACTTTCTTGGTGACGTCCTTCAACTCTTCCACGCTAATAGTTGCGCCGTCGTCTCCAGTTGTGTCTTCAGTTTACGTGGATGGGCTGGTGTCGCTAGGTTTGCAGTTGCAACTTAAGGTTTCCTTAAAGCTCTGCACAACTTTCCCCTTGGTCTAAACCTCTGAGGCCTTCACCGAACAGCTGGATTTTATTTAGTTGAACACAGAATCACAGCACGCATTCATTTTCTTTATATTGATCTACCACGTAAAATCCACAGTAAATAAAGCGACGGTATGCTTTTAACGTGACAAAATTGTGGAAATGTTCCAAGGGGTGAATACTTTTGCGAGGCAAAACCCCCGAAAAAGTTTGACTTGCCATCACTGGTGACAGTTTTTTCTCTTCCCCCCCCACCCCACCCCCTTTCCTTCTCCCCATAATCTCCTACTCGGAGCTTCTGCAAACTGAAAGCAAAGTAATTCATAAAAATAAAGCTGATATGATTTGCTCGGTTACACCCAGTGCTCTGACAGAGAGGAGGGTATTAATCATTACTAAAACTTTTGGGAGAGGCTGTAAGAAGGGGGGTTGAGTGTTTCAGCCAGCATCGGAAGAAGCAGCAGTGATTTGATGGATGGAGAACACATTTGAATGTTAGTGACGACCTAACCCCACGAAGACGACCCACAGCTCCTCCACCCACGGACCCCCCGCCCCCGCAGCTCCAATTTTGAAATGTGTAATAACAAAGCATTGATCAATACGGCGGACTTTCCAGTGAGCCAGTCCAGAGACCCCCCCCCCCTCTTCCTCCTCCTCCTCTTTGTTCCCGTGCCACCGCAACCGCATCCGTGTTGGCACAACAACCCCACTTCTTTTCCTACATAGCTTGTCGCACTCAAGAGTTAAGCTCCCCTTTCTGAGAGCCCCCTCTGCTAAAAAAAAAAAAAAAGAAAACAGAAAGAAAATCCCTCCCTGCCTCCGAGCTACTTCTGAAACGTTCACGGTTTACAACCATTAAACTGAAGCCCGCTTCTTGTCCACTTCCACTGACATATAAGGGGTTCTCTGTGAGCCCGAAAGGAGGAGGGGAGGGGCACAAAGTGCTTGTTTGTGGGTGATACAGTGTTACAGCGAGAGGAAACATGCTCGTACACAGCGACATTGTAACAAGTGGGGGATTCGGCTTTTTTTTTTTTTTTGCGCAACGAAAACAAGTTAACTCACCACAAGTCCTGCGGCGCACAGATGGGAACCCGTACCTGGAGAAAAGATGGCCAGCAGCGAGTGGGTAAGGGGGTGGGGGGGGGATTTTATCCACTCCTTCTCTTTCCACGTTTTTCCAACCCGGCCCCTGCCTCCACACCCCGGGAACAGAGAGGAGTGTGAGCGGGGTTGAGGGTTGGAGGGGGGGCGGGGGGGTGAGCGCAACCTGGGACACACTGCCAACACTTCGCAGTCTGTTTTCCCTGCTAAATCCAGATAAAGATGGCTCCCCCTGGAAAGCACGCCAATTCTCCAGTATCTGCTGTCCGCTCGGAGGTTCCTTTGTTTGCCTCCTCGGGATGGTAAAACCCCCACAGTTTATCCGCTGTATCCGGGCGCGTCGGTCGACTATTCTAGTCCGCCATGTTGTGTGTCTGTCTGCATAGGAAGAATGGGAAGGAGAGCAGAAAAAAAAAAAATATATTCCCAGGCCAGGCCCCGACTCCTCTCCAATCTGTTTCTCCATACCAGGCAGCGCCCCCTGCTGGTAGAGCTTCACTTTGGACGCAGCACACTGCAGCGCTCAGCAGGGGGGATGTCCCAGAACATTTATTGCACATCTAACAATATTTTTTTCCTGATACCAGTAATTATATATACATATATATAAAATATATGTTTCTGTTTATTTCTCCTGTTTATGAAATGATGACACGTGTTTGTGGGTTGTATGTCGGCTGCATACTTTTGCGACAGCTTTTGGTGGAGGCAGTATGATGATGTGGGGGCAGCATCTCCCATAATGGAACGACAAGGCGCCATCACCTGAGCAATAAATCGACCGGATTGGGAAAGTGAGGGCAGCAATTTGATCAAGACATAGCCTTCTGATTTACTCAACCAAATGAGACAAAAAATGTATCACATGTGCTTTATTTTAATTAAAAGGCCATGCACACTTTTGTAACCCTTTTTTTTTTTCATTTTTTATTTCCCTCTTTCTCAGTAAAATGTTCAACATATACGACACAATAAAAATTATTAATTATGATTTTATGTCTTTATATCACAAAAGCCTATTATTGCATCAAGGATGTTACATTTGCCCAGTATATCACTATTTTGTATTAGGATATTGGAGATGATAACTTTTGCTTAGGAATGTTCTTTCCCCCCACCCCCCAAACTTTAACGTTTAGTAACATAAAAAGTATAAATAAATGTAGCTAAATAGTTTATACTACAAGATTTTGAATAGAATGTGTTTGAGAGCCAGCGTTGTTCTGCTTTAATGCCTTAGATGAATGAATACTTGCTAAAGAGTAAGTAATGTTGTCTAATATTCTGTGTTTTACTGAACAAAACCATAGGCAAAAAAAAACATTCAATGCCTTAAAAATCTCATTGTGTGAATCTATTTTTTATGCATCTTCTATAACAGCTTTCGGGATTCAAACTTATACACTATGAGTCATTTCCAGGCGATGAAACAGAGAAAGGTATATTTAAGGAAGAAGTCTTTAAACCCTGATTATCTAAGTTGGGTTAGTCTTATTATTTGAGAAGGTAAAAAGGTTTAATGAACTTATTGAAGACGTTCAGAAAACTGCATGTTTGCAATGCAGTGCAGCATGAACCGTGTGAATCTCTCCAGCTCTTGTCGCCTGATAACGCACTTCTGCAATCCCGCTGGGCGACATCAGTCACAGTCCACATGTGACTAACACAGAGATTCTCATATGACTCCTACGCAGCAGACTATCCAGCTCCACCTGATTGACATGCGTCAGGAAACGATGGAACAAGTACGTTCTAGTTGCTCCTTGGAAACACGTGTGATGACCCTTTAACGCCACTGAATACTGCATCAGGTCTCCATTAAGAATCATGAGACCGCTTCACACTCTTGCTGTCACGTCTCATTTTTTATTCACATCTCGCCACAAATGAAGCGATAAGCTAAAACGCGACGTTAATAAATAATCAGATGTACGAATCCATCCGTTGCGACTGCTGCTTAGTGACCTGAAATGAAGCTATTAGCAGAATTTTTGCAGGGTCAAGAAAGCGAAAGGTCGGCGAAGCTGACATGTTCACGACTGTTAACGTTTTGTCTTCAAAATGCCACTTTAAACAATGTTTTGTAAACATATTGGTGCAGATTTTCTGTGTTTTGCAGTACATTGGCTGAGGCAGTGCACAGACCTTGACAGAATGCAAAAAATCCCAAAAAATAAACGAAAAACTGTGTGTGTGTGTGTCTCAGCAGCCCACAGATTTGCATTTATGAAGCTACGACTGGCAGGTTGGCAATGACAGCCCGGGTGAATTCATCACATGTCGCGTAGCCCCCTAGGTCTCCGGTGCGCACCTGTCGCAAACATAAGGACAGCGTGTTACCATGTGCGCAGCTGCAGCTGCACATGTCCACATTGCAGTGTCGCGGCCTGCATGTCGAAGAGCCTTTGATACAGTAACTGTACTCAGAGAGCAAGCCGAGTGAGTAAATGTCGCTGTGAGGAAAATGTCCGCTCATCAATTTTTTGGGGGTAAGTTGGAAACATGTCTATCTGTGATCCAGAGCAATGCCTTTCAAGTGTTCCTGTTGGTTTAGAATATTTGTGGTGTACATCTCCCTGCTCTGGGTTACTTTGCAGCACATTTCTCGCAAGCCTTTTTTTTTTTTTCCTTCCACTTAACTTCCCGTTGACATAGCTGGAAGCAGCTGACCATGAGTGGTTAATTGCTTTATCCAGGGACTTTTGTGACTTACCCTACATGTGGTTTCAATGACTCTGCTGTTTTACAGTGAAGTCAGGAGTTTCCCAGGAATCTGTTGGCCTTGACAAAACATTTCTGCATTTAAAATCATTCTTATAGTGATACTTTGCCATCCAGAGGAACTGAATGTGGGGCTTTCTTCTGTTGCAAGCTGCAGTCAGCAAAAACAAGCCGACAGATATAAACTTGCCAAAACGAGAACGTGCATACGTTCATATTCTTCTGCGAGTTTTGTTTAGAAAAACAAAAACAACAACAAAAAACATGGCCAGTCAAGTGCTGATGGAGAAATGCCATATCTATTCTATATACTATTTCATTTCTGTTATATGTCAACATGTTGACAAGTCAAGGTTATGTATTCTTATAAGCTAGTTTTAGGTTAAAATGTGACTTGCCAGAGAGGTGATTTTTGTACAGAGAATGATGAACGCTGACAAATAAAAGCTCAAGGGAATCTTACATCAGGAGAATGCTGTCTCCATGAGTCCTGACAGTGATTCAGTGCTTTTTCTTCAGCCTATGGTGCTTTCATTGGGCAAAATTTACATTGTAGAAAAAATATTGGAAGCACCAATAGCCTGAATAAAAATAGAGTGAATTAAGTCAGTTTTTGTTGTTTCTGTGAACAGAGTGCATTACGAGTAATGCACTTTATGTAGGCATATATATATAAATGTATATATATATGTGTGTGTATGTTACATATAATGATTATTATATATAATGTAATTATATTACATTATAAGTAATCAGATGATCTAGCTGCTTCACAAAAAGTTTTGTGGCTCATAACAATTTTAAAATAACTTTCTGTAAACATGGATCTGTGCAGCAGATGATCTAAAAAGATTCATCAGTTCGCAAAGTTAAAATGTAGCTCATGACAACAGAAACATGATGGAAGCATGGATTTTTGCATAAGGTGCATCTCCCTGACATCAATTAGAACTTTACTTATTTGTTGCTTTTTTTACTAAGTTATGTGTTACTGACTGGAAGCTTTGCCCTTCTAAGCTACAATATAATGAATAAGCCTAAAGTGAAAAGTCTACAAAAAGCACAAACATGTCCCAGATGTTACCATGAATGTAGCGACATTTAAAGGCTTCCTATTCATTTTCTATTTCAAAGCTCTGATCTTTTTATATATCAAATTTCAAAATTGTTTAAAAACTTTTTTTGACACTCTTTATAACATCTGAGTGCAAAACGTTTGAATAAAATGCTTGGATAACATAACATTTGATTCATTCGCTGCTCTTGATAGCTGCTGAACTAAAGTAGATCGGCTTTATTGCCATTTCATTGCTTTGTACTTTTGACATGTGCAACGACAATAAAGTTGAATTCTACTTCCAATTCTAATTAATCGAGTTTGTTTGAAACATATAGTGTAAACTGATGCTTTTATGCTGTTTGTAAAAACAAACAAAAATATCAATGTTTAAACCGCCATATATTAAAGATGGACAGAGGTTAAAAAAAAAGCTCTGAAATTTGCCTGTCATTTTATTTTGGAATGTGTTTGAGCCGATTCTCAAACAGAAGTCAAAAAACAAAATACTGAAAGTTAAAATGTTAAAATGCAACAAATAAACATTTATTTTATTCTTTTAGAAACTGGAATAAAGTCTGGAAATAAAGAGACTGTTCTACATTGGCCTTGGGAAAATAATAGAGACAACCTTCAGATTGCAGCTTAGATTATATCCATTTAGAAAAAGCTCAAGGAACTGACTAGATTAAACCTGTAACATAAGTTTACTTATTAACATAACCCAAAATAATGAAAATACTGAAGTTGAGAGTGATTATGGAGGGAAAGGGGCTGCAGGCAGGGAGAGGAAACAGAAGACAAAAAATATGGGATGGAAATCTCCAAAAACTGTGTATTTTCTATTTCCACAAAGTGTGTCACAAATCACTGCTTTTACATCGGCTCAATCACACATACATCAAACATAAACATTGTAGGCCACTAATGTCAAAGCAGAGTAACACATATGGGACACAACATGGAAGTGGGGAGAGTTTTCAGTCTTAACATGCCTTCAGGTCATGTTAGGATGAAGGTCCACATTTACGGCAACATGAGGAAGGTGGGGTCTTATTAGATGGGTCGGTGTCGCAGGTTCTCCACTACTGCTTGCACAAAGTCGCCAGTGGTAGAGTACCCGCCAAGGTCTCGTGTTCGAACCTGGGATGTGCACAAAACACACGTATGCAAACAACAGACACACAGAGGTCAGCGGGGTGCAGGGACAGACGGGAGTGACAGGAAAAGAAGCGGAGGAGCAAACGGATGACATAAGGTCAGCTTTTTAAGGATTTTGATATTTGCCAATAGTTTCATTACAGACACCTGGCTGGGGTGGTGGGAATTGGTGCTGGAGGAGGTTGCACAGCTGCAAATAATGCATCAAATACAAGCAACGTGGCCGGGATTCAGCATGAACATGCTGTACCTGTCAGAGTACATGTGTGCATTCAGCACACGTTAATGACCAAATCTGGGGCAGCTAAAATATTGGGCCAAGAAAAAGCATTTCACCAACTTTTTGTAATGTTTTGGACAAAGTTGTGGCCTTTATTAAGTCACTCAGTGAATTTAAACCAATGACAAGTCAGGTTTTGTTCACATTATTCCCGGACGATGTTTTATTGAACAAATCTTTTTATTCAATTAATCCAGTTATAACCCAGGGTTTATTTTCTTGGCCTGATTCTTTTCAAGTGATATGTAACCAATTTGCCTGGTTTAATCTTAGTTTCTGTTTCAAGAACTGAAGCTCAATATTTGGAAATGATTGCAGTTTGATTTTCCCAAATGGCATAATTTTTGTGGACATTATTAATTTACATGTACAAATATTAATGTAATTATAAAACAAGTTCAGCAAGCAATATATTTAAATCTAAATTACAATATAAATTATCACCACCAACATTTATTTAATTCAGTGGTATGTGTTTTATTATTCACTACTTTATTTTGTGTTATTGGGTCATCATGGGTGTTTTGCTTGCACTTTACTTTGTATCTTAAATATGACCTGAAGGAGTATAATAATCACAGACAGCAGAGAATAAAAATGTTAGTTTCAAACTCTAAAAAATATAAAAATAAAGCATAATAGAAATGCAGCAGGTCTGACACAGATGTTAGTGAATCAAAGGCTCTCTAACACACAAGATGTTAAGTTGTTAAATTTGCAAGCCAAGAACTGCTAATGTTCCACCACAAACTGATCAGAGAAAAAAAACTGTTCAGACTTGCTCAATAAGAGCATAGTCTGGAATTTGATTCTTATGGTATTCTAGATGCACAAGATGCAAGAAAAGATAACATTTTTGGTTACTGACCAGCAAATTGGAGCATGAAAGTATGTTATTTAAAGAGCATGAGTTTCATTAATAAGCATAAAGTCTTCAAACTCAGCGAGTACCACAAACAGCTATGTTACCTTTCCCTGTTTGATGACTTTCTTGACTGAGTCTGACACCATTTGGGAGTGGTACTCCAGACTGAAGCAGAATACAGTGAAAGTTAAAAGGCAGGCCAGGAAACAACGTGTTCTGTGGCTGTTCATAAAAAGATTAGAAAACTCACTTGAGGTGCTTCAGCATGTTAGCAGCACTGAGGAGCATTGCTGTAGGGTTGGCGATGTTCCTGCCCACTGCTTGCGCAAAGGGGTGGCGAGCTCCCTGGAGGAAAAAAAAAAACAGGCAGGAAATGAAGCAACCACTGAAAACGACTCAAACAAATTTTGACCCTTAAGCAAGAAGGAATAGTGTGATAATTAGTTTTGATTCAGGATTTGAAGAATCAAAGCAAATGAGTAGAAGATAAATGTTTGATAACAAGCAGATAAACTATAAGTCGACAACTTTAGGCTCATGCATTTACATTTTAATCTTTATGGCTCAGCATAGAACCTTGTGGTTCACCACTAAGAGCATTAATTAAACCAGATTTAATATTGTTTATTCAAATATAATGATGTCTTTTATTTGGAAAACTTATTATCCAAGAATGTGGAATATGTCTCACATCAAATCTCTCCAGCTTTTGGTCTATAGTGTCAATAAAACGCCCCACAGTAAATCTACTCTCATCTATTGCATTTGCTAGATATTCTGCGATGTAAAATCTGCTGCATTTCTGTCATGAAGGTGAACCTGTGTCCTTTTAATGAGTCATTTCTTTTGAAAATAATTAGGATAGTGTCCTGCATATCACTTCTATGTTGACAATAGCATTTAATTGATCTAAAAACAACACAGATTAATTTGTTACTTTAACTCTTTCATTGTTTAGCTTCTGCCCTTACAGTGTATGTGACAGACACGTCACAGACTCACCAAACTTTGACTCAAACAGAAGGAATTGAATTATTAAAGAAACTCACAGTTTCAAAAACAGCATATTCTGCACTGTAACTTTCCCCTGGAACGACTCCGGCTCCTCCAACCAGTCCTGCTGCCAGGTTATCGATGATATTTCCATAAAGGTTGGGCATGACCAGTACGTCAAACTGGTAGGGGTTCTGAACCAGCTGTAAGAATGAAACAAGTAAATTTTGAATTAAAGTTGAAAAAAATAAAAGAAAATACAACACCAAAGACCATGGCAATACTGTAGTGTGGTGAGGTAGACGGAAACAATGCTCATAAAAACAGCAGGACGAAATATTAAGACTGTAAATACCTGCATGCAACAGTTATCGATGATTATGTTCTCATATTTAATTCTGGGGTAAAGTTCCGCCACCTCTGCACAACTCTGCAGAAACAGCCCATCACCTAGTTTCCTGGAATAACACAATAGGTAAGGATGAAAATTGCTGTAATTGTCAAATTATCACCGCAATTGACAAAGTTTTAAAAATCAACAGACAAAAAAAGCAATTTGTCCTAAAGATGCCCTCACATGATGTTTGCTTTGTGAACTGCAGTGACCTTGCTTCGACCTGTCTTGGTGGCGTAGTCAAAGGCAAACTTGGCGATGCGTCGTGACTTCTCTCTGGTGATGATCTTCAAACATTCGATCACACCGGGCACACTCTACGAACATTGAAGTAGAGGCGTCAAAAATTTTATGACAGATACTAAATGCAGCATCTGTTAGAATTTTTCAGATTGTCTAGCGGCAGTAGACTTATTGTTTAATTGTTTACCTCGTGCTCCAGGGAGCTGTACTCTCCCTCGGTCTGCTCACGAATGATGACGAGGTCCAGGTTGTTATGGCGAGTGTTGTAGCCGGGCAGGCTGTTCACATGGACCACATTAGCAAACAGGTCCAGTGTGCGCCTGGGGAAACAACCGAGATGTAAGGTAATGTTTAAACACAGCAGATACAATTGTTTTTGTTTTTTTTAAAAAGCGTTTCTATGTAATTACCTTAGTTTCATTTCAAAAGACTCCAACTCCCCTTTGTTCTCCATTGGTGAGTGAATCTTCCCTAGTTGACAAAAAAAAATAAAAATACAAACAAACATAAAAAGCAGATATGCTGAAGTTTATTACGCATTATAAAGTTACAGGAGATATTTGGATGGATGGATGGATATGACAAAAAAAAAAAATCACATCATGTGAGTAAAATTATAATCACAATCCTGTTGGATTACTATCTAGTGAAGGCTAGTAGTCCAAAAATAAAAAATCTAAAACAACAAAAACCTGATAAAGTTCAGCTAAAGTTCACTTTTGCTTTATTACACTATGAACATTTTGTATCATGATTACTTGGAAACTTAATCACACACATGAATTCAGACAATATTTTAGAGCAGAATATGTTGGAAGCAGTGTTTATTAGATTTATGCTACTTGTAGTTTAGAGTGCTTCATAGATGAAAAAGGCTTCTGTTATGTTGACCAAGGTATCACAGTTTTGGCTGCTCTGTGTAATCAGAGCAGCTCAAATGCTGGCAGTCCAATAAAAATGACATGCTAGTAACCAGTCTGTCGATCCAGAACGTCATGAAGAGTGCAAACACCCAGTTAAATGTAAACCAGCTCATCATTAGCCGCCAAGCAGTGCAGTGGCAGCTGAAGGAGAACGCTGGTCTTACAGCTGGTTTAAATGTTCCTGCCTTACTTTCCCTCCCAAGTGGATTAAAATATGTCTGAGACAATGTGTTAAATGTTACAACAGCGCCTGCTGCTGGATCAGAGACTACAGGATGTTTCAGACAACTGAGCGAATCAAGATCTTGAAGAAGCTTTGACAAACACAAGAATTAAAAGAACAACAATTCCCGTAAGTAGAGGCAACAGAGCATATTGTCAGAGTTCAAACATATTATCACACTCCCCCGTAAAATGTGAGTGAAAGAGAAAATTTAAAATCTGTTGTGTTTCACAATAAAGTCAACATGATTTGGATATTCTTTGCTTTATTCATGGTAAGCTTTTGGAACAAGTGTGATTGGATGGATTAATCTTTTTAAAGTCTACAAAGAGATTTTTTATTCTGATCTAGACGTGAAATATATTTAGGCTCTATCAAAGCCGTAGGAACCCACTTTATTACACATTTCAAATCCCATATTATTAGTGACTGAACAGCTGCAGAAAAAGAGACCTTACCTTTAATAGCCACTCTATTGCTTTTCATCGACTCCAATAATTTCTCCAGTCGTTCGTCAGTCGCCCTGTTCTGCACTTCACTGATAAAGAACTCGTCGAATTCAACAGGGATGTCACCTGCCTAAAGATAGGGACAAATAAACTTTGTATTTAAAAAACACCAGTATTAATTTATGTCTTCAAACTGTCTCAATGTTAATATCACTGACTCTGACTGCACATTATATGGAAAAAGGATGCTGTACCTTGAAAACATCCTTGACTGCAGTCATCAGCTCAGGTCCCACTCCATCACCTGGAATCATAGTGACCTTGAAGGTACTATCAGCACGGGTAGGTGGGCTTTCGGATCCACAAAGACTTGCAGAAACACTTAGAGGTCTAGAGACCAGCTGCTGCAAGCGGGTGCTTCCCAGACCCTAAGAAATTTCAACAGTAGATTAAAATTTTCCACTATCACAGATGCAAATTTCAAAACATAAGAAAGGGGAAAAAAGCTGGGATTTTCCTTTTTGTTTCCTCTACAATGAATTACTCAAATCCCAGGAGGGTTGTTTCCAAAGTGAGCAACTCCAACAATTCTAACCTTTCTGCATTTCATTTTGAAGACATGACGCTCTTGTGCGACTGAACATGTTCAGAAACAGCAAAATTTAAATTATGATTTACATATGATTGCAGGATACTTGCACAAATTCTCTGTTTGCATATAAAAACGTTGCTGTTTTATATTTATGGTACTAATAACTACATACCAGTGAAAGTGAAACTGGGGATCATCTTCTCCCACAAAAAACAACAAACAAACTCTAAATCCTTCCTTGCTTGTGTACACAATCTTGGCAAATAAATCTGATTCTGACGTGTCATATATAAGCAAATGTGCTAATTACACAAACGTTACTGTTTTAAGTCATTTATGAGATGCATCATCATCCAAAAAGGCCACCGGTGGGTGACCGGGAGGGTTGACTGGATGCTACGAGGGATGAAGCGTGTGGTCGTGGGTGTGACTTTGAAGTCCAACCTTGAAACGGGTAAGAAAACCTTCGACTGTTGAAACTTAGGTTGATCCGTTACGTTGATGTTTTATATGATAACAATAAGCAAATGAATAAAGCTAACAGGATATCCCAGAACGGCTGAGATACTTGTAATGACTAACAGATACAATACAGGAAGATAACTCTGCTCTACTGACCACCAAAATTAGAAGAAACCGTTTTGTTGTTGTTGTTGTTAAACTTTGCTATGGTGTCTGTCCATTTTCCGAGGAGGGCTCTTGACTGGACACACATGCCACATTTTCCTGCCGTTTTCTGGGACAGTTAAAATAAAGCCCTTTGCCTGAGTTTGACAAACTTCACTTCTCCGTTCTAACAGATGTAATAACCCTGTTGTCCTGTCAGCATCCCCTCAGCACTCACCTTGGCCAACGCTACTACCGTTCCTCTTAAGGCGGCCGCCATAGTTCCTCGAGAAGCTGGATGACTTCCTCGGTGGCAGATTGCTGGTGCAATCCCCCAAACCACGAGACAACACCTCCCCCATCAGGACACGCACTGAATTACGTATTTTAGGATAAAAAAGATTAGGTTGGAGAAATTTGTATTTATTTATTTGTTTATTTAGTCACTATTATTATTATTATTATTATTATTATTATTATTATTATTATTATTATTATTATTATTATTATTATTATTATTATTATTATTATTCATTTGTTTTTCCACAATTACACTAAATTCTTTCTCATTAAATTGTATACACACAACACCCACACACACACACACACACACACACACACACACACACACACACACACACACACACACACACACACACACACACACACACACATATATATATATAGTCAGTTGGTCTTTGAGTCACCTTTTTATTTCTTAATGGATCTGGAACACAACAATAATTACTGAGAATATAAATTTTAACATGTTTTGTTGATTTTTTAAATTATGCTTTAATGAAGTTACAAACGTTTTGGATCTTAGTGAATATTTTGATAAGCCTGTCAGAAGAAGAAGAGCTGGACCCAGTGTCCTGGAGGGCTTCAGTTTGTCACCTGCTGCTGAGATCGACGCCAAACCTTCCCGCGATCAACTGGTAGATCACGATCGACTTATTGAGCACCCCTGATCTACAAGTTTCAGGGTGATAAATAAACAGAATTGGACCTGGGCACCTCAGATCTATATCATTCAATTGTAGATCTAATTTTACATTTAGGGATTCTGTCCTGCAGAACAATCAATGGACCCAGTCTGAAGTCAAAGGACTCAAAGAACTTGGAAGATGGACGAGTTGGTCTGACTAGCTTCCATTTCTATCCTGATAAAAAAAATCATCCTCACACTATGATGTTTCCTCCATCTCGAATGGTTTGTTCAGCGAATGCACAAGCTTTTCCACCTCACATGGAGACTGAAACACTTAAGTTTTGGTCTCATTTGCTTAGAGACTTCATGCACATGTTTGCTGCGTCCCCACATGGCTGCTGTCAAATTGCATATAGCTGAAAGCAGGAGAAAGAAAAAGACAGATCATTTTTCACATTGCGCTTGGTGACCTAACAAAGGAGATGATTATCATCAATCTTTCAGGATGAATATGTCACAGCAAAACTGTCTTCAAATTTTATATAATCATTGTAACAGTATATTTGCTTCCGTCGATGCTCACTCTGAAAATATCCTAACCCATATGGGTAAGGGGGATTACCAGTCCTATTCCAGGCCAGTGATGGTTTCTACTGACAGAATGCCATAATAGACTTTAAAATCCCTCTCCTGAAAATGTAGTTCAGGCATATAATTCTAGGATAAGTGTTAAGATCTTAGTAATTTATTTTTATTGGCAAATTTAGGTCGTTATATTTTTCCCCCCGCAGTAATGCAATGTCAATATTCCATGGCTCATTTTTGACGGAAAAATTCTGTCGCATACAATGTTGTGTATAAATTCAATTTGGATTTTTAGCATTAATAATTTGTATTTAGAGTTTTTCTACTCTCTTGGACTCTCAAAGGAGTTGGCTTCTTTGTTTGCTATATTACATATTAAATAAATGTGTCATACAACAAACATGTTCTGGAAACAGAAACTAGGACGCAGGAAGCTGATTTTGAGAATAACCTTTAACCTGCCCTTTATCAGTCCTATTCTTTGTCATGAATTCGTTGGTCATCAATTGCCCTGGAACCTAAAAGACCATATTTAGGTGAAATTTATCCAAATCGCTGCAGCGCACCGCTACTGGCTGACAGCTGCAGCGCATGATCTGAGTTTACCATATATGGGCAAAGCCAGGCAGCGCGAGCGCCGGGGCCGCTTCCGTGTTTGTGTGATAAGGCAGGGCAGTGCACACAGCCGGAGGAGCGTCTCTGTCTCCACAGATTCATTCATTGGAAAGACTAACGATAAGCTCAAGGCCTACAGGAATAATGCCGTTTGAACTGAGTAAGTCTGCGTCGCCTTGTGGCAAAAGCGGAGTTACACAGAGCGAAAAATTCTGCTTTGAAGCAGAATGTAGTGTGCAGTGTCGGCTAGTCGTCCAGCTAGCTAGCCTCGCCCATTCTTCTGTCTTTTCTTTTTGACATTTAAGTTTTCCCCGGTGAAAGCAAAACAGCCACGACTTGTTAACGTGAAAGCCACGTCTGACTATCATGGCTTCCTGGAAATGTATTCTAGCTCTGCTTTCAGCCTGTTATGGGTTGTTTCAGTGAAAGTTAGCGTCGGCTAGCGGAGCTGTAACAAATAGGAAATGGTTCCGCTCACGTCGTGTTGTTGTGACATGTCCAGACTGGAGCTGTCAGACGAGACGTGGCTGCTTGAACTCACGCCGTTTCACCCACAAATGTCACATTTTACTTAAGTTACCAAAAGAAACTTACCAAAAATTGTTTATTGTGACTTGCGAAAATCTACTTAGTGCACGAGCCTGTTCTCAGTTTCTGACTTTTCTCTGTCCAGTTATTGATTTATGACGTTGCGAGCTTTTAGTTTAGAGTTATAGCAGCCAAAAAGTGATCAGAAATTAATGCAGTGTTAATGGTAGTGGGATTTCTTGTTCTGATAGTAGGATACACGTGTTGAGGCATGCAAACATATATATTTCTTTCTCGTGTTGTGATTCAACCTTGTGCAAACTTGAAACATGCAATTGAGTCTTAATAAGAACTCAGATTTTTTAAAACTTATTCTTAAAGTTTTAGACAAGTATACACTTATAGCTTTATACTTTTATGCATTTATTCCATAATTCTCAATTTTGAAGTTATTTAAGAGAAGTTGGACTTTCTGCAGCAAATTTCAGATGTGACTTTTTTTTTACAAAAATGAGAGAATATAGGATCAAAATATTTTTTTCTTGCAATGATTTATTTATAATGAAAGTAGTGTCATTAAACGTATCTTGGACAGCAGTGGCTGTGCATAAGGGTTTTACTAAGATTGAAAATGACCAACTAGACATTTTAAACTGTCTTTAGCTCATTCTGTTGGTACTTAGCGATACTTCAACACTAGTTTCTGTGTCTTGATGAGGTAGATCCTTATCTGAAGTCAAAGATTTCCAAAACGCTATCAGCATTTCTAAATCCAGTGTTTTCCGGTTACAGACAGTTCCCAAAATATAAAATGAAGATCCCAAAGGGGGATTTCTCAACAAATCTCTTGTGAACTTGTAACATTTATTTTTTTTCAGAGCATGTTTTTGCCAGCCTCCCCCAGATGGAAAGGGGAGTTGCGAAAGTAATTGGTGGCGATCCCAAAGGAAACAATTTCCTCTACACCAACGGCAAGTGTGTTGTCATACGAAACATCGAGGTAATTACTTTTCTCATTAAGCCTTAGTAATAAATTTTGCTGGTTCATTCACTGTTTGTGCATTATGTGGTGATCACTCGTGGCAATGTTATGTTTTCTGTAAGTTGTGAAGTAAATCAGAAGTGTCTTTAAGTTTGGTTTGTTTTCTGTCTACAATGTGATGCTGCAGTTGCTTGCCCTCTAAAATCCTGCTCTGTTGAATCGCTCTCCTTTCCCATGGTGCTCTTGCACACTGGTTTAACCAAAATAAGTGTGACTTGGTTTTGCTAAAGACTGACCCTGGTGTGTATTAAACAGGGTATAATAATAGAGGAACATCAGTTTCCTCTATTCATCAAACCACATTTATTGCATGTTCCTGTTATTCTGTTAGTGGGTTAGATCAACCTTTTTATTAAGAAGCATCGTCTGTCCAGCTGTCTAATAAATTGTGATATTTTCTTTTTATTCAAGAATCCAGCAATTGCAGACATTTACACTGAACATGCCCATCAAGTTACTGTCGCCAAGTACGCCCCCAGTGGCTTCTACATTGCATCTGGAGGTATAGATCCCTTTTAGACACTTGTCTACAAATCTATTTTGTACTGTGAATTAGCTGTTTTTAACAAAAACTTTTTCTGGCCTCTCAGATGTATCAGGGAAGATCCGTATCTGGGACACCACCCAGAAGGAACACATGCTCAAGTACGAGTACACCCCCATTTCAGGGAAAGTCAAGGACATCGCCTGGACAGAGGACAGCAAGAGGATTGCGGTTGTAGGCGACGGACGAGAGAAGTAAGAGTCAAAGTTTTGTATCTGTGCATTTTATAATGCCATCAAACATAGTTAATGATGTCTCCCAATGTTCATTATGCTTTTGTGTAAAATATAGAAACCAGCCAGCCAAACAACCTCTTTGTCAGAAAAGCTGAGTGTGTATGTCTCCTGTTGTAGATTTGGTGCAGTGTTCTTGTGGGACTCGGGCTCATCAGTGGGAGAGGTTTCTGGCCATGCAAAATTAATCAACAGTGTAGACATTAGACAGAAACGCCCTTACCGCCTTGCCACTGCCAGCGACGACACCTGCGGCTCTTTCTTTGAGGGACCTCCCTTCAAGTTTAAATTCACGCTCAGGGTATGTTTTTTTTTGTTTGTTTTTTTTCCTTTTCCTTTCTTTTAATCTTTGGTATTTGAATGTAATATTTGTGCTAAACACAGCATTTGGGGTAATTGAGTTTCTTTACATTAAACTCCAGAAATAGGCACATTTCTGAAACATCCTCAACCTGAATTCTTATCAATTAACTTTGTTTTATGGTTTCAGTAACTTTAAGCTGCTGGTTACTTAGTGCTGCTTACTCATCTCAAAGCTGTCACACCCTGGTGGCTTTCAACAGTGTTGCCTTGTGTTGCTGCTTCCACATTATATAACCTCCATCCCACTCAAATGCTTGGGGTGTGACTCAAATTCATTCAAGCCTCTCATTTGTTTCAGCATTCTGTCTTCTTTTCCTAGAATAATCATTTTATGTCTTAAATTTGAAATCAAAATGGCTTTTCCCCCAAATGATATGCATGTTATTTGCTTAAATGTATTGAATTATGCAGGTGATTGGTCTTCCAGTCATGCTCCTCCCTTAGTTTTGTTATCGGTCTAAATGCCAGCCACAGGAA